CAAAGCGCCTTTACTCTCTTTTATTCTTATTCTCAAACCGCCTTTAGTTCGTTCTCATGAGCATTGACTAACACCTGCGTAGTTCCATTGGTATGCCTCATTACCTAGCTTCTTCTCACGTTAGCGTTCAAGACTTTATAGCTTCTAGAATATTACCTTTTAGGCTCGAAAAATCTTTTTTTATGGTACTTAGCCACTGCTTGATGCTTCATTTCAGCTCATTGCTCTTCGACTATTGTCATTGAATCAAGGAAATTTGTCAGGGTTAATCAGACGGCTTTTAGTTAAGAAAACGTTCATTTTACGTTTCTCTCACAATTCTTAAAAAGAACCTGGGTCTGTTACAAACTTAGTGTATTTACCAAGTAGAGGCTTGTTATTTTACAGTACTGACCAATTTAAAAGTACTTTCTTACAAACTCTTCTTGCTTAGTGCGGACTCTCAATAAAGATTATCATCGCGAAGACCGTGATTGATAATTCTGAACATGAATTAATTTAATAATAGCAGATTTTAAAATTTTTTATGACTAAACAACCAAGGAGAACTTCAGCTTTACAGTTGATTCTGCACACTGAACCCCATCCCAATCAACTTATTCATTTAAGTAATAATGTCTTAATTACTCATAACTTGGGACACAAACTCAGTTTAATACTTGAAGAAGATAATATTAAAATCGATCAAATGATCAACCTTATAACTCAAAACTTGAGTGTAAAATCGGAAGCTCTTAAGAAACTGACAAATATCAGAAGCGCTGAGAATAATTAACTAACTGGTTTCAAGAAACAGACGTCTCATTTTATACCCTCTGGTAGTGGGAAGACAAGTTGAGAGGGGCGCGTGACTGCCCCTCAGCTTTCCAAATTCGTCATTCTGGCAGCAGATTATAAGCCATTCCCTAAAGAATTTCGTCCTTCTGCTTACAATTTCAACAGTTTTCTTCCAGCCAAAAATTTCTGACATTGCAGCGTCTCTTGAATGTATAAAATCTAGTAAAATTTTATATCTGAACTGCTTAAACATCTGAAAAAAACGCAGCGCTAACTACAAAAAAAAACTTATTTTTGGCATTTTACAAAACTGTTAAGATAGATAAAAAAAGTATCACATAGAGCGAATCTTTCAAAAAATTGTCAACGTTTAAACTATGACTGTTCTGATCGACAGGAATTGACTTATTACTATAGGACAATATTTGAGCATTGTCTGGTTAAAAAAATGTTGGCAAAGACTGAGGAAAGGCGTCTGACTAAAAATTAGCGCGTGAGGTAAAAACTTTTTCTGTGAAGACTATAAATTTTGAAATTGACCAAGTAAATCATCTTGGCTAAAGATTTATTTATTGACCAACAACTTATAATAAAATGTTTAACATAATTAAAAAGAAAATTTGTTACAGAAAAATTAATATTTGTAAGGTTCTTTTAAGGCAAAAATTGTTTTACTGCTGTGCCATAAGCTTTTCATCGAGTTGAGATCAAGAAAATAAATAAGCAGATGCATATTTTCAACGGCGTCTTCGGCTTTTTTGTTTTGTTAATTTAGATAAGATGGTTCAAGCCGTCGATGTATTCGATCATTTTTCATTTATGTACCACTTTAGCTGAATCTTTCTTTAAATATCTAACGTGGTTTTTTAAAGACATTTTCTGACAGTAAGAATCATGCAATTGCTGTTAAGAAAGTGTTATAGTTTTGGAAAATCTAAACACTTTTTATTTTACAAATTTCAGGCAGTAGGGCTTTATGTGGTTCAAAGCGCATATTAAACCAACCTGAATAAGAAATCTTGCAACCAATAGTATTGAATGCCAGTGACTAGAAGAAAGATTACGAAATAAATTTAAAATATAGGAATAAAAATTTTATTCTTGTTTCACTGATTAAAATGTTTATAAGGAGCAGATTTCTGTGAACCTTGCACACTCACTGTACTGCCTGTCAGCTTCTCTTAGAATTTCCTCTGCTTATTTGGCACGTATCATTTCCCTCAAACCAAAGTTTTTTCCATAAAAACCTGATCTTTTTATGTGCTTTCTAATTAGACTTGATCAGAAACTAACTGCAGAAGAACAAATCTTGAGGTTTGTGAGTCTAGATGATAACTGTTATTACACACTACTTAGCGCACAAGAGTACATTTTTCATTTTTGTAGAATTCGAAACTCTTTACTAGTTTAAAATTAATCTACACTGAATAATGACAACGAAAAATCAGTTGCTGTAACCCACTGTCTTAATTATAGTACCTGGCAGCTATATTCACCAAGGCATTAACGGCAATAATGTCTAAGTTACATGACCCAGAAGCAGTTAGTCAATACTGCCGAGAGTTGGGCCGTCGCCATGTCCGACATGTAAAGAAAGGATTTCGAACCTGTTTGTGGGATACTTTTGCAGAATCATTAGCAGAGTGCGCCATCGAATGGGAAGGTAAGCAAACTGTGAAACCTTCACATTTACCTTGTTAAAACAGACAAAAAAATGTATTAGAAACTTTTGGATTTTTGAGAAGTCACAGAATTAAAAGACACGAGAACTTTTCTTATTGATATACTCAGTCAGTAAATGAGTTGGTAGTAGCAACTGCATGTTGTTTCGTTAGGTGGTCAACGTTGTAAAGAAGCTTTAAATGGATGGCGAAAGTTGGTCGTTTATATAATTGATGAGATGAGAAGTGGTTTTCAAGAAGAAAAGAGACGACAAATATTCCTGAATTCCGCGGAATGCTTACAAACCTCAGTTGTTAGCTCTCTTTCTAATTCCTGTTCTGCTGCATCTTGTCGTTCACGAACAGTAACTGACTGAAAATAGTTTTATAACAAAAACTATTCCTGTATTTATCAATTGCTTCAACAACAAAAAAGTTTCTTTCGTTTTCAAGCATTTTATTTCACTTGTGCCTAATAAATTGACTTTGAAAATGTAAAAGCATAATTCAACTAAAGAAAAAAAGTTTTCTTCACTATTGAAATCGATTCGCATAATGCTCAAGAATTTTGTTAACGCTTTGATAAGATTGATTGATTTAAAGTATAACAGTTGCTTAAAATCACTGCAATAAACCCAGTAATTCCTCGAGGTCTAAAAAAGTGGTAGGAAAGTGACAAGTAAGAGGCTTGTTGTTCATATACGATGTTTAAAAAATATTCGCAATGATGTTAGAGTAATGTTACAGTTCCAAACGTTCACCGAAAATATCCAACTTCAAAAGACTAACAGAATACTACTTTTTTTATATTCTTTGTCCAATGGCAAAATTCTTCATTGCAGGTCAGTATTTCATCAACAGATTAATAGATGGAGCTAAATCTTATAATTTTTTTAATGGTGTACCATTGTTTTTCTGGAACAAGGCTTAGATTGGTACGCGTTTTCCGTAAAAAATAGTTGATTTTTGTCAATTATATGGGTGTTTTGTTTATAAGTATGCATATTATACACCGACTTTGATATTTATAAAATTTTATTTTCACGAAATACTGCTCACTTTCTTCCCAAAAACAGCAGGAAAGAAAGTGAAAAGTTGTCTTTTTTTGCGAGAAGAAAGGAGAGAAGAGAGGACTTGTGATTGGCTAATCGATAATAATGCTAAAAAAGCAGTAAAAATTTCCAAATTCTGTTTTTAATGTTATTTTGACTTATTTATTTGTGTACCTTTTCAACTGTTATCATGTGCTTTCAATTTTTTTGATCAGACTGGCTGAACCCTTCACTATTCTGACAGTTTTTGACCTAAGCCAGCGCAACCGTTGGTACACCGAAATATCAAAGGTCGCAAAAGTTTAATAGTTTAATGTTTTATCATAACGTACCTTTGAAAAGTAAACATGGCGACGACCTTTGATACAAGTTTATAAGTCATCGATAATGTTTTCTTCTCCAATATTCCTTGTTCCTTGATTTTTCAAAAGTTTTGAAACTTCTCTTTGAAAAGAACTTTTTCTGTTTTTAAACGGGTTTTCTCTGTTATTTTTTATCCTGTTCTTTCAGACGGAATTATTTATGCATATCTTCATTATCGACGCTGAGAAGAAATTTTCTCTTTCTGCTCTTGCTTTTTTTGGTGTGTATAAATTTTTATTTCACAGTTTTGGTTTCTTCTTTTGTTGTTTTTTCTGTGCTGACACTAAAGTTGCTTTCAAAAATTTTGTCGTGCATGTTGCATTATAATAGATATTAAAAACATTTGGAGTTGCCTTCCAAGACAATATTTCTCTGCTACATTACGCAAAAACAAAGAAGAATTTCAGCATGAAATTCTGCAAGAAATAAAATTGCAATTAAGCGTTAATATGATAGAGAGACATATGAATCTTTTGAAGTGTAATTCATAGCTTCAAATGTATTTGGAGGAAGCACTTCTTTTTTCAGATAAATTGATAAATCAGCCTCACCACCATCATCGGAGCTTGTTGCAGTCGAGGAGGTACATAAGCCACGTAGATCTTTGACTGGAGACCAAACAGCTTCTGCGTGGCAGCTACCTTTTCTGGAGTTATCGTACGTACCCATAACGGTTTGGAGACTTACAAATAACAATGAGGTGTAACAAACAAATTAATTCTGGCGCAAATGCGAAAACCGAAAAGATGTCGAGAACAAAAAACAATCTTAAAAAACTACTAAAGCAGTGACGCTAAATTACGATTGCAAAGTGCTTAAATACCTGCGTTTTAAATAAATAGAACAGCGATAATTATACTTGTACTGTGAAACAGCCAACAGCGACCAAATTTACAAAAACTGTCAAAAAGTCAAACGGCAATACATAAGAAAAGCTCTCTCTTGACATTTCTGGTTGTTGAGCGAGGAGGATAAGCCAACAAGGAAAAGAAGTTAATGACGTAAATTTAGTACTCCAACTGAGTCACCAGTTGCGCTCAATAACTCGTTGTTCTTCTAAGATCTCTGAGAAGATCACAGAAAAATATATCAGATCTCAGTAATGAAAATATAAACAGAAAATCCACTAAACATTGACCAACTACCTTGCATAGAACAGACAGAACAGGAAAGTCACTACTTGAACAAGAAAAAAAGAAGTAAGAAAACCACAAATGGTAACAAATAAACAAATGTAGGAACAACTCCATACTTGAAATTAAAAAACGGTTCACAAACTGGCACCGGGCACGATTCGCACGAAAGCTACAAAACGAAAAAAACGAGAGAAATGTATTGCGTAAAAATACTCAAACTAAACGGAGGTGAATCGCTTTATTCAGTCATACTAGACGAAACAGATTGTTTCATTATTGCTCACTTAACTGAAAGACAGCAGTTATCATTTGTTTCTTGTCTAAAGATAGATCGATAATCACTACTTTAATGGATAAAATGATAATTTTTACACTTCCTATACCTAAAAACCATTAGCTGTTATCGGCCAATCGTAAAATGTTTATGCCGGCAGCAGCTGCATCAGGTGGTGCACAATTAACAAGTGAATCTACAACATGCTCACAAGCAGTATTAAAATGCAAGCCTCAGGTGTCGATCCGAAGTTTCATTTATCATGCACTTAATCAATCTTATGAAGCAAAACACCCTATGATCTTTGAGGTCTCACAGAAGCAGAGGGTAATTGTCTCTTCAGATGCCAACAGTACAGGACCATAGACAAGTAGCAACATTTTCCCACTGTGTGCGGAAGATTAGATAGCTTGTAAAAATAATGGAAAATTTCTTTTAACCTGAAAATATCTGTAAAACAAA